GGGGAGGAGGAAGAGGAGGAGGGGGGGAGGAGGGGAGGAGGAAGAGGAGGAGGGGGGGGAGGAGGAGGAGTTTCATGTGTAGGTGCATGTGACATCAGCAAAAAGCTGTTGAGAGAAGATAATCACCTCTTATACCGCACATCACCAATTGACCGGGTCACAGCTAAGCTTCCTTGGACCCTCCAGACATCATCATAGAGAGTAACGGTTCCACCCATTGCCTTGATGCGTTGTCTCTCATCTTCTCGATCTGGTCGATGGTCACTCGTTAAGTCCACAGCACGTAATTCTCCTGCTGAGCAAAGATCCGCATCCTTATCACGTGGGTGCCTTCTCTTCCTTGACCTTAACCTCCTGTTCATCCGCACTTTGACCATTCACGAACACCAGGAGTATTCAGACAAAATCACAGACAGCAGCTCCACACATTCCGTTATCATATGCTTATCAAGAAATTGGTTTGGCACACAATGGCTGACCAAACAAGCAATGCCCATGATGCTGAAACACTACAGCCCTCCCTCACTCTCCCTCCCTCTCTCCCCCCATGTTATCTATCTCACCTACCTCCTCTCTTTTCTTCAAATTTCTTCTCTTTTCACTTCTCATGTCATCCTGCCGTACCCTACTTACCTGCCTACACCTACCCAACCTACCAATCCACCTATTTATATATCCCCATTCTCTCTCTCTCTCTCTCTCTCTCTCTCTCTCTCTCTCTCTCTCTCTCTCTCTCTCTCTCTCTCTCTCTAGGACCGAGGGCAGGAGGGAGTCAGAGGGTGCACGTGTACGCATGCTTGCCCAACATACCCACATCCCCTCTCTCTCCCAGCCCCCCTTCTGTGTTATTTGGATCCCCAGCTGGACGGACATGAATCAAAATCTCCCACATTCTACTGCATCATGAGACCATCAGTGGAAGCTGCACAAACCACATGGGACTTTTCCTTTCATACACGAAAGGCTTCTGTCCTCTGTTACAATGTTCCAACAGAGACAGCACGCATCAGTGGAACGTGCACAGAGCAAACGGGATTCTCCTTTCATACATGAAGGCTTCCGCTACCTTAGCAATGTGCTGTCAGCAGTGACAGGGGAAGAATGTTAAGGGAGTGTCACAGGAAGGTGGAAAGAGTGAATGGAACTCACATTGCCGGTGTAGGATGGAATCAATCATGGAAGGTGCTCCCTCGTTTTGTCCCTCTCTGCAAAGGGTTCCCTGCGTATCTCCAAGATTGCTCACGAGCAGCCATCCATCTACGACAAGTGCGATAGTCGCTGTCGTCCCACTCGCCAGCCTTTGCGTCTCTGCAGCCTGTATTCCATAGCCAGATCCCCTGGACCAATCAGGATCGTCTCAGGGACACAGTGTTCACACCCAAATTTTGCAACGGCAATAACTGCAGCTATGGGATGTCATGTGGTTGCGGTGTTCAATTTGAAAAAGGATCATTCAAACAAACGATAAACCAAACGACGAAATCAAGTGATAATTTGTATGTCACAATAACACCCATCTTTCCTTTTCATTCGCAGGACCGTACATAGAGAAGCTCACAAGAACCTGACCCTGCGTAATGCAGAGGGAATGTACTACGCTTCACGTTACATCTGAGCACGCCACAGATCAAATATTAAACTGATCATAACGGATACTACAATAATAAATACAGCTGTCGTCTCCTCATATACGGGAGACAAGCTGTACTTTTACTACCCTATTTTCTTCTCTCAATCTTATATCTACCTCACCCTAACTGTTGCATACTTCGATGAGTATGGGCAGAACCAAAGATCAACCAATATAGGATGAGCATGTATGCAGCGGAAGTCTGATAAACGAACTGACTCAC